TTTATTGAGCTTATAATGAATTGTCGCTGATCGATTTCGCAAGTTTGAGAGAGTATTTTTCGTCTTTATTTGAGGGAAAATTTTAAACAGATACGTTCAATTAGTGCAACGACGAGTTTGGGGTTTTTTTTTTTTTTGTTGGGGTGGTGGTGGTGTTTAGGTTACATTAGATTGAGTTTTTGTGAGCAAATCTCTTGAATATGCGACCCGTCAAATGCCGGGTCACGTGTCAAAGTGTATAAATCACATATTAAAGGGATTTAGTGACATATCACAGATTCAAGAGATTTGATTACTTGGATCAGGCACGGTCACATGTAACAGGGACACATGTCAAAGTGCATACGTTACATGTCACGAATTCAAGAGATTTGGTCACATGCCTATGAGTTTTGTTCACATACCATTGAATTAGGTCATATGTCACATGTCAAGAGCATAGGTCACAAGTCACGGATTCAAGAGAATTGATCACAGACCATTGCCTCTGGTCACACTTCACAGATCCAGAGATTTGATGGCCACATGACATTAGATATGTCGAAGTACATAGGTCACATGTCAAATTCAAGAGATATGGTCACATGCCATTGATTTATCTAATCTCATTTATTCGAACTGGTCACAAATTTAATTAACTAGATTTCAACGGTGAAAATTCAAGTTATTTGCTTCGATACGTACTTTGTAAATTACAAAAGGAGTCATTTTTCAATTTAAAATTTTAAATTGTACCGGCACTATTGAGTCATGAATGAAGAAGATGATCAGTTGTCGGGGATGTTCATTCGCACGTTGATTGACGATCAATTCGCTGCTGAAGAAGCCATCGACGGGTAGATGCCGGCGAGTCGGGTGGAGGCGGTTGTTTGGTGGGAGGTGTGTAGGTAGATTAATTTAATTTGATAATATTATTATTTAAAATTAAAACAGAAACGCGACTTTTACTTTTTAAATTTAATCTCTGAAAATTAATTTGAAGCATACTTAATACAGGACTTACGATTTCTTCCTTGTTACAATAACCAGGTTAAACGGGCCAATACTAATTCAGTGGGCCAAGTTCAAGTCAACATGGACCACCTCATATGGACGGTTATGGATGTTATGATAAGAGGAAATTACATGAAACCATAGTTTTAAAGATTCAAATTCAAAAATCAAATCACAACTTTATTTATACAAAAATCAGATCTTTTAATTAATATTATAAAACTAAAAATTAATTTATATACAACCCACCCCACCCCACCCCACCCCACCCCACCCTACTCCAACATCATTTATTGTGTTTTCT